ATATATGATTATAAATATAACAAATATTGCAAATAATAACAAATTGTTGTTATAGGTATATTCATGAATTGGAGTTTGACCACTATTATATTTATTGATTAAATTTTGTAACTTTTCACGATTTTTTTTTGTTTTAAAATGCAATAGTTATTCGATAACGTGTTGGTGTTTCTAGACGAAAATAAAATTTCTGAGATATAGTTGATTAAGTGCACAATCATAGAGATTTTAATAAGTCAAAAGTTTTGTATATTTTACAAACGAGGCACAGCTTAAGTTGTTAAGCACAGTTTATAATACACTTTTTTAACATAAATAAAAGTTCAGGCGCAGTTTACATTATACCTTTTTAACATAGATAACATTTCGAGCATAGCTTACAATAAAAAAGGTCATTAGGGCGCAGTTTACGACTATGCTCATAATACTAGTAATAGTTTATTTTCAATAGCTTAATTGGTATTCCTACAATATGTTATTAGCTTTTTATATATAAGTATATAATTGGAATAGTTCGCATTAATCATATTTTTTTAGACACTAGATTTTTAATATTATTATATTATATATGCATAAATAACGCCAACCACGTAAAATACATTTTGATATTTGGAAACTGTATTATACATGATGAGCACACGTGCACGAGTCTTTATTTTTTGCTAATTAAATTACCATTCTATTGTTTAAATTTTTTTTCAAATTTATGTTATATAATATTACATTAAAAAATATCCCTGGGAGTTTGTTTTCATCAACATTTTTTTATGAAACACGTATGATATAACGCGCGTTGTATACGCACATTGTTTTAGTTTAAATTACTATTACTTACTGTATAATATTATATTGTACGTATCAATACGGTATTGTGTAGTCACTATTATAGGCATATGTTGAAAACTACGTATGTAATACAAAATTAACAAATATAATATTGTTAGTTAGGTTTCATTTTTTTATAGGGCATTGTCTCTACGAATGTCTGGCGTAAAGTTAAAACCCATTCGTATGAACAAAATAACGAAAATCGATGTTTACACTCTCGTTTCGTGCAAAACATGACCTAGTGCACCTAATTACAAGATCGTGATTTATATTTCGTTTCATCATAGTCCAACTGGGCGCCATAACCTATTTCTTTTGTGTACCTCTATAAAATACAAAGATCTCAACACAAATACAGTATTATTCATTTAGTAGGTATGAAATTTGTTTTCTATTTATTTAGAGCATTGTATTATCAACATGGTAATTTTTATTTTCCTATCTATTATTTTAGAAATTTAATTTGTAAAAACACTATTTTAGCTATACAAAACTATAAACGACAAATCCTTATTTCACACAAATAAACAGTATAGCAAACAACGAACTCGAATGTTAATCTGATAAAATTATTAACGGGACAATTTTTCCGACACTTGTAGAAAGTATAATGGAATATGATGTGACAAAAATCTTCTTAATCAACATTTCGAGACGGCTATTTAAGGCCAATTTATGTTATAATATAAAATATATTAGATACGGCAAATTTTGAGGCATTTATATATAATATTACTTTATACTTTTTATCGGTTAACCAACACGATTTGGATGATGAAAAATAGTGCGAACATTTCACGGCTAACAACAGTTGCAGAATTAAATCTTAATATGGGCCGCATATTTAATACACGCTTTCATCATTTGAATATATAAGTTTAAATATATTATATAAATATATTAATAATTGTCGTGGTTTGTGCGATTGTTGAAAAATGTATACAAATCGTTTTTATGGTAAATCGAATGAGCACCTATTATTAGACGTCGATAAGCAATATATTGTACGTATACTACATACACATCATTTAGATCACAAAAGTTTATTATAACAACTCCGTGTTAAAAAATAGGTAATTAAGTAGTGAAGTAATATAATATTAAAATATTAAATAGATATAACACTAACTTAAGTATAAATTATTATGCATCATAGAAGATAATAAGTAAAACATATTGTTTAGATATACAATAAGTTTTTCATCGTTTATCTGTAATTTTAGTGATTTTATTATTCCAGATACAAAATAATAATAAAGTAGAAAAGAAAGAAAAAACCTTAAGTAACCCAAATCTACTTAAACAAAACTTTTCACACGAGCGAAGGTCATGGACATCGGCATGTATAATATCTATTGGATTAAAAAAAAAAAATTAATCTACTACGTTTTATATTGTTATAGATTATTTATTATTCAGTTTTTATTAATTAAATGAAGAAACTTTGAGTATATAATAATCAATATCTTGTCATTGATATTTACTATACATGTAGTACCTAAGTTCTATGTCGACTGTAATTATAAAACTTTGCATAATACATTGTATATTAGTCTATATATAGAAAAATATTTTTACCTGGCAACATATTCATTATAAATAAAATCTTAAATGGTTTATAAGAATCCTCAGAGTATATAAAAACAGAGGTAATACTAAAACCGATATTTTCGCCAGAATATTACTGTAACTTTTATAAATACACTATTCATGCATGAAAAGAAATCAGTTATCTTATGTAATATTCTTTGTTGCCACCTCTTCATACGGTTTCGTTACTATTGTTAGAATACATTTTTATTTCGAAGACCTGGATTTATTGAGCACAGAGAAACATAAAACATTTTTTAATCATTATTATTTTATTATTTACTATGGAGATAACTAATTGAAGACTTTTAACAAACACATAGTTCTTAATAACCACTGTCTCCGCAATTTAAATCTAATATTTAGTTATCAATAGTTAGGACCAACACAATTTAATAGTAATGAATAATCGTAATAATGATGCATTAGTTACACATAATAATTTATAATTTGACATTTAAAAGGCTGTTTGTTGTTCCAAATCTTACTTTTCTGAAGAACCAAGAAAAAGTTTAAGCATATTTAAAGCTTTAAATTATTATAAGTAATTTAGTTCTAATGATAGAATTGAAAATGTTTGTTCATTGACAAATTAAATATTTACTTTTAGAAATAATGCAAGGTTTCGAATGATTTAAGGTTAAAATATTTCTTTATAAAATTATCTTCAAATCGTGCTGGTTATAACTACATTTTGAGCTACTTGTCCAGATTAATGTTAAAACAATTATTACAAATATTTTATAGGAATCCCTAAAATAAGTGTTAAGTGACATATACTTTGACTCATAGTGTAAACTAATTATTGATATCATAAGATTGATACAGCTTAATTTGTTGTTTATACCCTAATTTAATATTTTAGTTATAAATTGATTGCACTTAATTTATACAATTTGAATAATATGTATAATCTGCCAAAAAATAGTCGTACCTATTCAAATATTTCACGAAATTAATGCATTTGAATTTCGTCTAAAAATCGCTAAATAGTTATGCCATTTATATTAAATTTATTCTAATTATCTTTAATAATATCATTGATTTTAGAATATACATTTTATATCAAAGAAAATCAATGATAGTATGATAGTAATATTATCTCTCTATTAACTTACAATTTATATTTTAATGTAACTAATTAATTATTTTTCCTTTGCAACCGAACAAACTTAGAAGATAAAAATAATTGTGTGTATGCCATTGGAAATTAGATACAGTATTTTACTGTGCAAAGAATAAGTAACATACACGTAAAAGCATTACATTACGTATATTATTATAAATATTTTCTTATAAGTTATAAGTACAAATTATACTTCAAGCAGTCATGGTGAAAATGTTTTATTTAACTCACGTTTGTTTTTCTTTGATTGAATTTGACATGGAATTGCTAATTGATATAAAAATTAATTATTTTTAATAACAATCATGTCACTGAATAACATATCCTGTCTTATAATATCTGTGCGAGCTTAACTGAAGTTACTTCACCTGATGTGTAATTAATCATCTTTTAATAATAAATCTCTATTAAATAGCAATCGCTCATTTTAAGAAAATGCATCGTAAAAACTCATATTTTAAATAATAGGTATTTTATTATTTATATGTTATTTAGTTTTTAAGGTTTGATGATTAGTAAATAATATTGTAAAATATAATAACTAAGTTTCAAAATACTTCACAGTAAATTAATATGACAACATTATAATATGGCCTACACTTATTTTGTCAAACGTTTGTACTGTATCATTTAAGTAATATAACCTACTATTAAGTTGTATATTGCACATTCACAGCATACGAAATATTTTTACTATCACAAAAACATCTTCAATATTAATATAACGTGGGCTTTGGAACAATACGCGCAAGTCAACCTATGCGACTATATTATAATATTAAAATGATTCGATGATGTCGGCGCGAAAATTGACGGTCAAACACAACACGCGTATCGGCCTCGAAAATTAGATCACAGATATACTTCAGGCGATCGTTACTAATATTATATTAATATCGAAAGGCTGCAGGTGCTCCATGTATCCATACACACACACACATATTATAATTTATAACAAATAACAATGATAACATAATATATTATGCACGCATAGTTAAAACACCATGTATTACAACAATAATATATGGGGTTACAAAAATCGATACTGCCCTCCAAGTATTATTATTTATTGTTGTTGTTGGTTAGTTCACTGTTGCGTAATTTGTGAGGGTACATGCAGAGTCGATGTATAATGTTATTGTATACGACCGCTACAAATGTAAATATTTAGATACTTTAATATATACGTATTATGGCATTGTGAATTATTGTGATACGAAAACATAAAATACGACATCATCAACGTTGATGGGTCGTCGTCTTCGCAATTGACTCGATTGTACATCAATCGTTTGTGCGTTTCCTTTGACAAAGTTAAGTTTTAGCACGGCGCCCTATCGATTGTAAAACTCGGTCTAATGACGTGTGCGTGTATTGATAGTATTTTAATATATAGCTATATATACTATTATAATATGTTAAGTGAATTATATTATACTTCTTTGCGTGTACTTACTATAAAACCGTTGTATGTATATAAATACACCACTGCACGTCAGACTTTCGACGGGAGCATGATTAACGATATGTAGGCAATACTGCACGGAAATTCGGAAATACACGCGGACCGCGTTCACTGTAATAATCGAATAATTTATAAAAATAACTATAAAACTAAACAAAAAACGATTGTAAATAACCTATTATATTATTATAAAATTATATTGTATATTATTATGATATCAACGGTTACAATAACAATAACAGAGGCAACAGCGTTTACAGTGCTTTTACACCTGATCTACATCGTCTACTAACGGGTTACCACGGGTACGCACGCACAAGCACACCGTCTCTCGTAAATGCGAACACTCGGTCGGTGTACGGTTACGGTGGGAGTGGAAAACCCACCCGACCACGAACGTGGTTACGGTCGTTATCACACAGTGTATCGTCTAGCGCCATCTGCGAGGCACATTCGACGGACGCGGCGCGTGTCCGGTGTTCCGGTGGTCCACAGCAGTCGAGTGAAGATGGCGACACCGGAAATGACGATGGTGGTGGCTATGGATATGAAACGGTGAACGTCCGTTACTGGTGTTGTGTGTGAACAAAAGAACGTTGCGGCTTTTTTACCCTTAAACGTGCTTGGTGCGATCACTAATTTATGCTGGATAATATTACTAATGTTAATATTTCGATTATTTCAAACCACGTGACTAATAGACAGTCTAATCGAACGTTTTAGTCACTTCCCAAGTAATTACCTCTTAAGTACAATCAGATTGACTGTTAAATAATTTTATTTTTTGGTAACTATTAGTAATCACAAATTAATCTTGTATGTTGTTGATGTAATCCAACCACAACTTATTCTCGAACACGAAAAGATTTCAAGAACGTATTATTGCCAACGGGGTTGTGGTGAAATATAATTATATTATGCTAGTTCCTAGACAAAGATAGATATAACGGACAACAAAGCTACGTCGTAAACAACTTAAGATGTAGAAAAGGGGTCAAGTAATTTTTAACGTTTTTTAAAAGAATTATTTTGAATGTTTAAAATTATTAAACGAGTATACCGTTTTCTTTGGTATTCCTTCCGTCCTTCGTGTTATAATTTATGAACCTTTTAATACACACCATATAGTTGTAATAGTTGTAACGTAGATCCTTTGTTAGAAGAACGATAAAATTGTTTACAGAAACTCCACGAAAAAAAAAAGAAAAATTATGTTAAATTGAAGCGGTTTTTCAATGTTATATTTTTAATAATATTTATACACTAATATTGTCCTAGTAATACGTATATGTATTTCAATAATAGTTCAGGAAAAAAAAATATGTAGGTAATAATAATAATGATTGTTTGATCATCAGTCTGTAATTTAAAATTAACGAAAGCATTACCACCTCGGACGACGAGTTAATCACTGATGCCTGATTTCGTACAATTTTATTGTGTATGTGCGATGATAAGACGCATTGAGTGCCGGACACAATGCGTTGCGTACCTACCATGCTGAGGAATTTGTTTGTCGTAAATATTTGTAAATGTTAACGGTAAACAACACCATAGTTTGTCGATCTATTTGCGATACATTCGTGTCGCGTAAACATTAATTTGTACATTATTATCACTCAACAATATTTGTGCGCGCCCTAGCCCTTAAAGTGTCATGTACTCTTATAATAGACTTGAAATATAATATTATGTACTTTATAATTTATAAATATGAATAAAAGTCATAGAAACTTACACGTTAATGTATATTAAACCAAATTCGCTCGATAAATTGTTTATGGTCGTTTCACGTTGAAACTATACACAAAATAGTATTCAGCCATCGATCATCGTTTATCATTTTACGAGCCACTAAGTTTGCCACAATTTGTCTTTTACAATACTTGACTGTTAAAATCTAATAAAGGTTTCTTTTTTTCTTATTACATAAACTTATACAAATATTCAAGTTTACCTATATCTGCCCATCATTTAGATATACTTTTTCAACATAACAGCTATCTTTTAAATATGTTTAAGATATACTTTTTAGTGAGCATGTTGTTTCAAGATAATATTATATTTAATTAACTAAGATCACTTATATCCCTTTTAATATTTCAAACTGATTAATTAACAAAGATTAATCATTAAATTTGGTCATACACAATGAATAATAATTTGTCTTATAAGATAAGTTAGTATTATAAGTTTGTTTTTTAACTTTATGGCTCAATGGTGCAACAATAATTATTATAATGTAAAAAACATCAACGTGAATATAGCAAAACAGTATTCATGCAGTATGTTTAATATTTTTTATTCTATTTCAGTAGGTGTAGCTATAATGATTTCAGATGAAAAATACGGTATTTTTAAAACTCGTCACACCTATTTATAATAATATTGAAATTTAATAATCTCGTACATACAGTTTGTTTTTAATGGCATTTTATGTGTACATTGTTTTCGAAGGTTTTTCTTTGTCTACTCAATCCTTGTGATGCCTTTGTATGGATTCAAATTTTTCAAAATAACATCACAGAAATATTGTACGTGAATTTCAATATTATGTGAGTTATACTGTTAATCAACTTTACAAGAGTAAACCATTCCATATCTCAAGTATAACCTGTTAAAAAATAAAAAAGTTCAATAACAGTAGGTATAACAAAATAAACGACTTTGTCTGAATCGATCTTTCAAATTTCACAAAACAATTTGATCTGTTTAAATTGTGTTTATAAGCAAAACATATTTGGTCCAAAGTATTTTTGGCTGAGTATAAAAGTATTATATTTAGTGCAATGGAAGGGAAGAACAGCTTTAGTGATTTTAGAGTGAACCTTATCAAGCATCTCCCTTTTTGACTATCGACTTATCTTTAACGTATTACTTTAAGAACCTTTCAACACAATAATTTATTTACAATTTTCGATTAGTCAGAAATAAAATTTGTTACATAACCAGTGATGAGTGATGACAGTGAGAATTTCTCAGTTATTTTTAAAATCTTATATATTTTATCTCATAAAATTAATTAAAATATGCCAAACACGCCAAATGGATAAACTTTTATTGAAATTTAATCTAATACAAAATAAAAAAAAACAAACAAAACTCATTTTATGAAATTCGGTTTTAACCATACAGTAGATGTTATTAGTTTATTATAGTTAATTTTTCTATAAATAAGTATAATTGTGGTTATCATTTGCGCTCTCTGTAAAATATTATATACACTATTATAGTATATTTATTTTGTTATATTATACACTTATAACTGGTATTATAACTTGAAGCATTATGTAATTCTGAGTTCCAATTACTTAAACATTTATAGAGATTAGTAAATCTGAATGTTTTAAATGTAAATATGCTAAATAAACTAAAATACTTTACTTGAACTTGGACATAAGGCATTAATAATTTCAAATACGACTCATTATATTATCTGCTTTAATTATAATATGTACAACACACGTTTGTAAATCTTTATATTGTTGTCTTGTGTGATATATATATATATATATCATTCTGATTTTTTTGTTTTATTAAATCTTGTGTACCTATATTTTTTTCCTGATTTAGATTCTTTTAAGATAAATTAAACAAAATAGTACCATTATTGAACGTATACCTAATAATGTGCCGATATAAATCGTATTTTAATTTTCTGTTAAATAATTAAAATATATTAATTGATAACATTTAAATTATAAACATGCTTCATTGATGTTTTGTATGTGAATTAGTATTTATGAAAACATATACTAAAAAATAAATGAAGAGAGTTGATAAAACATTTAAATTAAATTCCTTATTAATTTAGTAAAATAATTATTTTAATAATACAAATTAAGAACGCGTAATTAACAATAATTGTAGAGTGTAAAATTATAATTGTATTTTGTTTAAAAAATTACTTTGTAAATATTTATTGATGCTAATTTAAAACTATAAGTTTTATGAACATAATAAACATTTTAAATATGATTATATTATATTATTATTGATATGATAACGTTACAACAGATATAAAATAACTTAATATTGTATATTACTTAACTATTTTATTTTTTATTTTTTTTTATAGTAAAATATGTAATGGGTAATAATAACTATTAAGTTGAATTTTAATTAAAACAAAAAATATTATTATATCATTTAAATATTAATATAATATTATTATTTAAATAAATATTTATTAGTTTTTTAGGTTTATATTTTATAAGGTAGTAAAGAATTTCAATAAGATACTAAAATTAAAAAAAAACATTAAGATAAACTGTATTATATTTTTACAATACATTTGAATTTGGTATTAATTGTATTACCTTAAGAATGATTTTTTAAATTTTAATCATAAAATATAAAAATGTTTCTTTGGTAATATTAATTTTTCGTTATCATGATTGTGATGGGTTACTTACTATATCTCACTATATGTTTATAGCAAACAATATAATATTACAGTAGTCTAATTTATTCAATTTTTTTAATTTTTATAAATATACTTTTGTTTATGATTATTATTAGCTAAAGCTAATGTATACAGCAAGTTTTAAAAATTAATCCAGTCGTTAGCAATTTAAAATTGAGTAATACGAATGCATGTAATGTCATGACACAAGATATCTAGGACTTACATAAATTACACAAATAACAATTAATATTATTTTAATTATCTGTTATTAAATCATAATATTTAACAAATTTTTCATCATATTGTTTTTATCAAAAACAATTTTAACTTCGTTTATTTATTTATATTAACTTAAATTTTTTAAGTAAAAAATATTATTTGTCAACAACTACTTTACAACTTAGAGTTATAACATTAATGTAATGCAATTTACTTTAAATGAGTAATTAATTAGTTCTTGAAATTTTAATGAACTGAATTTGCAGTATAATATCTCGCATCATTTTTGTCCACTTAAACTTTAAATTATTATAGATAAATAACATGTTTAAAGATTTATTTTTATGAACCAAAATTATCGAAAAAAATATTCAATTTATATATATGCAATTTAAATTGTAAGCTTTTATTCAAAAGTATTTTTATTATTATTGCTATTTGTTGATAAAATTATTAATGTTTATTATTTATCTCGAATATAGGCACAATATAATATTGTATACAGATAGTATATAAATATACTATATTTAATTATTAATGTACATTAATAATAATTAATAAATAATGTTATATTGTAAGTAAGAATATATACTTAAAAACAAAATTATGCAGTTATAAAAAATAGATAGTTATACTGTGTGCATTCTT